CCCCAAAACCCCAAAACCCCAAAACCCCAAAACCCCGCTATAATATTGTTATTTAAATCGGAAAGTCTGTGAAATTTAAATTCGAATTTTGAATTTATAATAATTTATGAAGAAAACATAAAGCTAATTTGAAAGGGTCCTTAAGGTGAGATCACCTATCACCACAATTAAAATTCTAATCATGACCCTCACTTTAAGGGATACTCTCAGTATCTAGTTGACAAATACAGGAGTTCATGCTCAAATTAGAGCTGACAACAAGGCAGAAAGCCCGATAGCAGGGTCTCTTGAACTGCCATATTCTGAGGGACTTCAGCTCCTCCAAGGTGTGGATTCGACAAACTATGTACTAAAAGGAAATCCATTCAAACTAGATGGGTCAGGGAGTAAAGTTAGCTCAAGTGCAGTTGCATCTGACACTATACAGAGAGACATTGTAACCACCACCTCAGAATATGCCGCTAACTTAAAGGCTTCGGCAGATTTCTAGTTCTCAGGTTGGGGTGCAAGTGTCTAATTCAACTTCGCGATGCAGAGAGATGTCAAATTTGGAAGCAATTAAAAGCTGTTTGTTGCTTGGAGGAAGATTGTCAATGGGTACGATGGCTACCAATACCCTCCTGCCCTAAGAGAAGCTGCCAAGACAATGCTAGCAGAGCCTCGGGGTGTTGAGCAATTCGCTTCATTCTATGGTGACTACTATGTAAAAGGCTGTGTAAACGGGGCTTCAATGAGAATGGTCGTCAGAACTAGTAGCGCATCTAGTTCATCAAGTGAATCGCTAGATGTGAGCATAAGAGCTGGCTGGAATGGTGGATTCATGTCAGTCGGTGGTGGAGGTGGATTTAGTTAGGCTCTTTCCTCATCATCGACAACGAATTTGGAGTCTGTAGAGATTTACTATTCCGGACAAGATAGAGGATCAGGTGTTAGGAGTCTCAGCATTGCCAAAGCAGATGAGGAATTAACCAATTTCGCATCCATCGCAAAGACTGGCACACCTCTGTATTGTATCCTCGAAAGATATGATACTCACCCAGATTACATTGATGCTCTTGCTGCTAAAGCAAGGCCTCTAGCTGGTACTCAAGAATCATTCAATGAGTTTCTCAATGACATACTATACTAAAAAATGATCAGGCTGGAAGTAATAATGCAGTGGTATCTTGACGCAGGCAAGAGCCAGCAAAAGATCCTAGATGAGGCAGATTTTGTCAGATCAGTGGTTCGCTCTCGTGACATATTGGAAAAGGCCAGTGTTGCTGTACGTAAGGGTGCTACTACATCCGTTGATCTCCTCGATGCTCAAGAATCAATAGATGCTCTTGAGCAAGTCTTCTTCCAGAATGGCATCAGAGATTAAGTCCTCTCACCGACAAAGATGGTTGGACCATTGCTTGATTCTTATGCTCCTACACTCACAAACGTTCTAACTCCAAGCAGCGACACTAACTTGGCAGTTGACACAGTATTCAAAGTGCAGGACTTAGCTACAACACTTGACTTTATGGGATCGGTTACTTTGAACCTGGCATTCGCGCTGCAGAGCTGGGACCATGATACTGTTGGTCAAGATTAAAAGGCGCTTGACTTACTCAAAAGATTTCAAGCTACCACGATATATCCTATTGGAGCTTTCTTAGACAAAAGCATTGCTGATAACCCCTTCCCACAGACCTCAATCACCGCAGCTATAGCTCTCTTAAGGACTCTGAATGCTACCGTCGTCTCAGCTAAAGGTGTGTACTTAGAGGGTGCCTTCACGACCGTTTGTGGCGCCAAGCTTGCTGACTGCATCAAAGCTTTTTTAACTGTCTGCAATAATGCCAGTGCCATCTTTGACGCAATAAGAGCACCTACTGACTCATACCGTTGGGTTTGGCAGCCAAATGGTGAGCGCAAGGACCTCATTCCACAATTTAATCCCTATGTTGCCATAATGCTCTCATCCTATGTGAACTTAAACTGGGTGCTCGGCGCTCAAGCCAGGAAGGCAAGTCTAAATGCGCGAGCACCACCTGCAGCATTGACCACTACTAAGAAGGAACTAGAGTGTGCTTTTAGATCTTTTCTGGATGCCTATTAGAGGAAATTTGATGAAATTATAGATTTCTTCGTGTACTCGCTAAAGGATTGCTTTGCCAACAAGGATTCATGGTGCGGATTAGGCAGCAATCAGTTACTGGTGGGCCTTAAGAACGCATATGGTGTGAATGCCTTGTCTACGTTTAATGGGGCTGTTGGAGGCATTGGTCCATGGAGATTTCTATCAGGCTGGTCAAACTGTCCTTCATGGGGCACTGTCCTAGATGTTGGTGGCAATTGGGCTACTTGCACTGACAACGTCCTCGTCAGAGCCATTTCTAGAGAGGCTGGAGCCCCTGCTGAGCAGGGCGGAGGTTTAGCGAGGATCAACGATTGCAGCTGCGCGAGTCCTACTCCCAAGCTAGCATTCGCTGATTGCTACGAGCAAGATATTTCCCTTGCCAAATTAGATAGTTGGGGCTATTGTCAGAAGCCTGGATACTTCTGGTTCGGATTACATTCAACTTCACCAGCAGTATTTGATCTTGACAAAGTCAAGTGTTGCAAACCGAGATACGACTGGCAAAAGCTAACCTGTTGACCTCTACTGTCATTAATTAAGTTAGGTTCTAATGGCTTTGCCTTAAGTTGATCATTACTAACTCTATAAATGCATCCATTAATTTAGATTGCATAATTATTCTAAGATTTACTTAAATTTACATTAAAATTTTTCTCTAATCTGCTACATTTAACATGGGGTTTTGGGGTTTTGGGGTTTTGGGG